TGGTAGTGTTCCAAAAGAATCATAAAAACAAAAGACGCAGGTAGGGGCATTTCTTGGTTTTCTCACTTCAGCTCTCGTCTCGATGAAGAAATAGTCAAAGCTTCATGCCCTCATGTCAGGCTTCTGTAGAAGAATAGGCATTCATATTCGACTTTCCAAAATCCACGAGATTTATGTCTAGTGCGCAATGCGATGCGCGCGACGCGCGCATCGTATTGCCAAGCGGCGAGCTTTCCATATCCAGAACACAACTTATTTCTCACTATGTCAATCATTGGCAGCTCTCGAGGCCGACATGGCAAACAAATAAACCCTAGGGATTGTAGCATCCGCATCGTATTCTCTTTGGGCTATAAACATATACCGTCAATATAGTCTAACTGGAACTCTTCTTCTCGGGTTTCATGGATGTGAAAAAAGTGAGCTCACTTATAGGATAAGAGCTCAGACAGACGTCCTTTCTTTTTCATTTAATCCTTGCAAATGATAGGGTTAAAGGGAAGGGTTGTCCTGCTCTCTTCTCCAAAAAGACGGGCGTCAAGAATGCTGCATTTTGCCCCACAAGAGATGGTGAAACGCAGGATATTCAAATACCTTTGTTCTTTTTCTCATACAAACAGTGCACTCCATGATCCTCGTGGTCCTACTGCATGAGGTTATCATTACTGTTTCAGCGGTTTCCTACTTACGCGTGCTTCGAACAAAAACGTCATCAGAGGCTACAATCTGTCCGTGGCCTGGTACCCACGATGTCTTCGTCCTTACCTCAGCATTTACGGGGCTGGAATCATGGCAACAAATCTGCCACTGGGGAGTACAGTACGGGTCGACACCAGCATAGAGTGATTCGGTTATCATCATCATTATGGGATTTCTCGAGTACGTGCGGTCTTCGCATGGGTCCCCAAACATGATTTCAGTGGTTCTGTATGTCTTCGAAATGGACAGCTGTCTCTGTCGCAAAAAATAAAAGAAAAGGGGGGAACAATAAAGGTTAACCGGCAGGACCGGGCGAATGAGGGGAATCGCGCTTTTTATTGTCGTGGCTTCGTTTTTGTTTTTCGCTTGTCTTGGCAGCTAGTCTGCCTCGACTCTTCCTTTATTTATACTACTTCAGCCAGGTGCTTTGTCCTCTCCTCACGTAATGTTTTTGCACTATCGAAGCATTTTTAGGAGAGGATGCACTGCATGTTGACAGCTGAGATTATTAAAATGCTCCCGTTGTTGTGCACTGTATTAATTGCATTGAGGTGCATTTTATTCGTCCTATATGCGTCACCGTCATACCATAATTTCCCACAGTCTCGTAAGCTCGGCTCGCATGATGTAGAATGAAAACTGATGTCGACAGAAATAAGGTTTATTATTAGAGATAATGTTGCATTTTGGGGGGCGATCAGGTGCATTTTTGCAGTGATCAAGAGGTGAAATGGCAAAAGTTGCAGTGAACGAGGGTGACGTTGGTAGGTATGCAAGGGGCACCCATCCGGTAGAGAGGTTTTTGTAGCGATCACTGTGGCGAAAATCTTAAGTCAGAGGTGACAGGAAAGAAATTTGCTGCTATAGAGGGGCGACAATAGCGGACAGTGCATTTTATTGTACTTAACAATGGGTGACTTAGGTTGTCCGTAAAGTCACGAAAACGCGTGTTTTGGCGGCGTGTTCGCTCATATTCTCTAAACGCAAAATTTTCAGACAACGCGTTTGGCAAAGCTCGCATCATACCGAAAACTGGGGGCATGTGAGTTTTTCACGAGTTTCACATCCGCCTGATCACAGCCGTGCCGGATCGACCTGTCTTGAAGGAAAACGAAGTGGGGTTTCCGTTCTTTTCATCAGCACAAACGAGCCTCAGACTGCACGGGTCGTATCGATATACGTCATAGACGTCCCTGTCGCTTCATCTGCGCAGAGTCCTTCAACGGATCGATGCGCGACAGGATCTGCCACAGATGCCGCCGAAGCAACCGCGAAAGATAGACAAGTAGAAGCTTCTAAAAAGTGGTGCTCTCCAAACGGTCCCCCTCAGGCTGTCAAGAGACGAAACACATCGCCCTTTCGACTGAGAACCTTTCTATCCTTGTGGCGAGCTACAATATTCGCTTCGCTTCAGCGAGTATTTGCGCAGGTGCACGGGATCCATCGGGCGGCACAGCGATGTACCAGACTTGCGTTCGTTACGGCAGGCACCCTGCTGGAGGTCAGTCCGCAAAACCCGCGGCGGAGATTTTCAATCTCGGGTTTTCCTTACGTCCAGCGATTTTGTGAGCAAATGAGAAAACAGCACGTTATTTTACGGACAACCTTGTTGTGTCGTGCCCGTCGTGTTTCATTCACCGAGATTGTACGAAGGGTGGTCAAGGTACAATAGAGCCTATTGAATAGACCGACCTCGCAGAGGGTACAGTATACGGTATTTGTGAAGTACAGGGGGGGGGGTCGCGATATAGTGCTACCCTGTGTCAGTGGGCCGAAAACGGCACTATATCGAACCAGGCACTGTTAGATAATGAGATTTACGGCTTTTTGCAGCCACTTCCTTGTATCACTGCTCAGAAAGACCGCTCGCAGGACGCCATCACTCATGCTTTGTATCTTCACTACAGACTCAAGTCTAATCAAGCATTTCTGTTATTAGTGGCTGCCGAGCCGTCGCATTGACTTCCTCCTTTCTCGCAGCTATAAATGCCAGCCTACACTTTTGCAGATGTCCAATTGCATCATCGACCCTGCCTTTTTCCGCCATAGTCTATTCGAGGTAGCAACTGCATAATAACTTTCCGTGGCGGCAGTGGCTCTCGGGCAGTACGTCCATCCAACTGCCTCTCTGGAGACCCTTCATTTTTGGCTCAAAATGCGTGCCACCCGCAGAAGGGTAGCACTATATCGGAGCTGGCACTAACAAAGATGGCACTATATCGCGACCCCCCCCCCCG